ACTGCTGCATATCTTGGATATCTATCTATCCCAGGGGTACACTGACCATTTGGAAACTTGCCTGAAGGCCCGGGGTCAGTAGGGGGCCCCATGAGATGCCCCTGGTACCTTTTTCATAGGCTTTTTTGAGTTTGGGCAAGGACACAGGGGCCCCATGATCCCCTATTGCCCGGGGGCCCCATGAGTTGTCAGTCTGCCCCTGATCTATCCACTCCTTCAGCAAGATATTCCTGTCATAAGGCTCCACTCTGTTGCTGTAGACTTTACATTTAGATGTTTCCACACATTTTTGCTTGTCCCAGTATAGAGTATAATACAAAACAAATAATAAATCCAAGCAAAAGAGTAAGAACTCCTCATATTGGCCAGATCAGGTCAGCAAATCCAGGAATATAATTGTAGAGGTCTCACCAACAAATCTCTGAGAGATATAAGAAACTGAAAAGGGTTTTACCTCCCCAGCATTACCAGCTGAAATATCAGTTTGGGGAGAATTGGCCTTTCAACATTTCAGCTGCTAGCAGCATGCAAAGTGGACCAGGGCAGTGTTTTCAGTAACATTATGTGTTCTGAGAGCAGAATATAATCAATCAATAACAACAAATGTTTTTCATGTCCCTTTCAGAATGTTTGCTAAAAATATATTTCAACATAAACTAAAGCTGCACTGAGCTTTCTCAGCTTATCCTAGAAACCCAGGAGAATGACTGTGTATTCTAAAATATGGATGTACCTCTCACATACACTTTATGTATTGATGCTCAAAATCAATGTTGTGCAGTGCTGTTCTTGTTATGTCACTGGACTGATAGAGCAGAACCAAGTTAAATCAATATATATGATTCTGGTGACCTTTGTTAATAATTGTTTCTAGTACTTTTAGGAATCCACAAATTAAAAAACATTTTTTTTTCTGCATTTATCATTTTAATACTATTATTAATAGCATGAACGATATATTAACAATTCCATAGCAGTCATGTCCTTAATGCCAACACTTCTTTAAGAAAAAGAACAAGTTTCTTGACTTTATTTTTAGCATTACTAAAGTGAAAGGGCATGAGTGAACTGTACAGTAGGGAGCATAAAAGTCAGTAATTTGGAATATGTGAAATGGTAGCCGCATACATGTTTTCTCTACACCCTGCCTAAAATAACTCCACCATTTCTTCATATCAGCTTGACAGCACATGGGTGTACCATTCTGTTACCTTTAAATTGCCTGTCACTGCATGTTCCTGCAAAATTAAATAAGAGGAATTGTTAAGCCTTTCACATTTTTTTCCTAGAGAAAACCCCGCTCTGAATGGCATGGCATTGCCTTTGCTCTGCACTGATTATATGATATGTCAGCGGCTTTGCACCTAAGCCTCTTGGTCTTTGCGGAACTATGAAAGAACAAATCCTACAGCTTTTAATCAAAGCCATTATAATAACTTGTGAGCCGTATGCTGATGTGAAGCAAAGGTGCTAGTTATCCTGTAATATAATTGATTATTTTAGATTCTGCATGATTCAAAATCATCACAAACAATATATTCAAAGAATGACCTAAACCATGATGAACAAATCTTTTAAAACATGTTCTATCCTCTAACTATGAATTGCCAAAATAGGGAGCACTAGTATGAATCTGGAATATTATAAATGATCTGTCATGAATAACTGTTGAAATATTTAAGAAAGGGTGTTCATAGATCTAAACTATACTGTAGATGCCAATGTGAAGGGTGGTTGGGGCTTCTATTAAAGTTCCTTTACTTCCATGTAAAAAGTTGCTGTACCCCCCACTTTACAGTTACATACAGTATACATTATTGTAGCTCTGACTCACACTTCTCTTCTTTTCAGCTATTGGTCTCCAATCACAAAGATTACAGCAATTAATTAATTAGAGCTGCACACACTGACCCCATCAAACTGTACTTTGATGAGCCAACAGCCAACCTCAAACTGCAGTTAGGATGAGAAGCAGTAGCATATATCATAACTCCAGGAACATTTGGGTACCCACTGACATGATCAACAGGTCTTAGGAAACCTACAGGTAAACAAATGTATTCCTCTAGTCCTACTATTTTTATCTTTTATTAAGCAGACTAGTGGTAAATTGGATCTAAATACCTGGAATGTTTCCTTTGAACAAACAGTCTTTTCCTACAGTATATTGATTTTCCCATCCCAATATAATAGAACAGTTGTGCACTATAGACATGCTCATTTCACGCGCCTGGAAGCATTGTTTAAACATTATTCGGTATCTTTGCCTGTGTATTTATTGAATGTACTGTTTTTCAGCTGAGATACTCATTACTGTTTATGGTACAAAAAAATATATCACAAGTCTGACAAGCATACTCTTTTGTTTATGAGAAACCTTGGTAAAGGCTACATCATTCACTGAAAATGCTCTTCAGCTTAATAGTCTCTTGGTATAAGAGAAATCTAATTCCTTGATATAATTGTAGAATCAACTTGTCTTCCTTTTCACCATTCTTGCTATCTCTCTGTACATCATTTTGCCATTAAGCCACATGAAATAAAGAAAATTGGATCATTTCTTTTAGTGTTGATTATCAAAAAAATGAAGGGACTCCACCAGGAAAACATAAACACTTAGAACTTCAAGATAAACCTTCAAAGTCTATGGTGGTAAGTCTGAAATTTCAGAAAGAAAGTGAGAATTCTAAGGTAAAGAGCCAGAATTTTGAGACAGTGGGGGAGATTTACTAAAACTGGAGCACACAAAATCTGGGGCAACTCTGCATAGTAACCAATACGCTTCTAGGTTTTATTGTCAAAGCTTATCTTACTAAGCTGAAGTTAGAGGCTGATTGGTTACTATGCATAGTTGAACCAGATTCTGTGGTCTCTATTTCTAGTAAATCTACCCTACTGTGTTTCAGAATTATGTTTTCACTTTTTCATAAATGGGAACTTGCGACAATGCACCAGCAACAAATGGGCAATAGTTACAATACACAGAAAACAAATTGATAATGGTGACAATGCACCATGTTCATGTAATGTTATAGTCCCAGTTAAGGAGGGCCTATTTAATTGTATAAGAACATGTATAGGATAGTTAAATGAGCCCTTAGGAGATGTTTAAAACTTGTTGTGCCCTTAAAAATAGCAATAATTAATCTTCTGAGTCCAATCTTCAATAATTAATTTTCTGTATGGCAGAATGGCAAAAAAAATTTGAAAAATGAACGAGAAAGATGGGGGTACAGTGTTGGCCAGCACTTCAGAGGAAAAAGACTTGGGGGTACTTATTTCAGATGATTGCAAAATGAGCAAACAGTGTGACCAGGCAGGGGGGAAAGTGAATAGAATTCTAGGATGCATCACTAGAGGGGTCACCAGCAGGAGGAAGGAGGTCCTGTTTCCCCTATATAGATCTTTAGTTAGACCGCATTTAGAGTACTGCGTGCAGTTCTGGAGAACTCACTTACAAAAAAGATATTGATAAGATACAATGAGCCCAGAGATGGGTAACAAAAATGGTGAAAGGTCTGGGGGATAAAACATATCAAGAGCGACTTCAGGAACTTAACATGTGCAGTCTGGAGGAAAGAAGGGAAAGGGGAGACATGATTGAAACCTTTAAATACATCAAGGGGGTGAATAAGGTTCAGGAGGGCAGGATTTTCAAAATGAAACCAAAACCAAGAACACAAGGACATGACCTTAAACTAACTGGAGAAAAGTCCAAAACTAATCCCAGAAAGTATTATTTTACTGAAAGATTAGTTGATGCTTGGAATAAAGTCCAGCAGAGACAGTGAGCCAGCCAATAGTGAATAGTTTCAAAAATGCTTGGGAAAAGCATAGATCTATACTCAGACAAAAAAGTAAATAACCTCTCCCCCAAAAAAACAAACACCCCCCCCCCCAAAAAAAAAAAATGGGCAGACTCGAAGGACCACTCGGCCTTTTTCTGCTGTCACTTTTCTATGTTTCTATGTTCACCAGTGCCCTCATTGTTCATTGAGAACTACAAGCAGAGCCCCTGATGGTCACGCTCTTTTCAAATTGTAACACTGGGTGCAGGGAGATGATTCCCAGCTTGCTGTCAAAAAGAAGGGGGCAATCAGGAGGAGAGCTGCAGGAGCATAAACATGCTACATGTTCCTGAAGATTAACTTATCCTTTAAATAGTCCCTACCTTCACTTGTATAAAAGAAAAATCATTAAAGTATGACTTGGTAAGTAGCAATTACAGTAGTTCAAGTTGTGACACCCTTTTAAATGAAAATGTAGCTTTTACTGTTGAAATGTAAGTTTTGCATATTAGTACAGTCTACAGTGTGTATAGTATATATAATACATTATGTATTGATATGTGCACCAACAAAGAGTTAACAAGTAGAAGACGGAGCTGCAGTCTTCAATCAATACCTAGTGCAATAATAATATCTCAAAACAATCATTTAAAATAATATTGTGCAATAATCAATATATGAACACAGTGAAACAGATCATTTGTGTCCAGTATTTATCCAGAAAATACCAGAAACGTCCCCTGTGCTTGGTGAAGTGAAGTACAATGGGGTTAAAGGATATGTTCACTGTTTAGACAAAAAAAATAAATGCACATTTTCTGCAGGTAAAAAAAATGTGCAGTTATTATTTTTGTCCAAAGGAGCCTGGAAAGCACTGCACCAGTGATCAGTAGATCACCGCTGCCATGCAGGTCTCCTGCAGACCTGTCAGAATACCTACTTGCCATAAAGGAAGCCCACAGCCTCTAAGGCTGCCTGGACTTGCAGTTTATTCATTCACGGAAGTCCGTGAATGAATGATGCATTGGTGTGGGCGGAGCTTCTCCCTTTACTATCTGTCAGGTGGGGGGGGCGGCAAGGTATGGGTACATGTTACATGTTCCACCTAAAAAATGGGTGGAACATGTAACATGTTCCCAAAGATAAACTTGTTATTTAATTTAGATCTGAAGGGAACAAAGAAAATAAGAAAAACTGCATTTTTACTTGCACATGATTAAATGACAGAAATCAGCAGAGCTTCCCTTCATTTCAGAGCAGGGGCGGACTGACCATTTAGAAACTCGGGCACTGCCCGAGGGCCCGGGGTCAGTAGGGGGCCTCATGAGATGCCCCTGGTTCCTTTTTCATAGGCTTTTTTGAGTTTGGACAAGGACACAGGGGCCCCATTATCCCCTATTGCCCAGGGGCCCCATGAGTTGTCAGTCCGCCCCTGTTTCAGAGCTTCCCTTTTGATCTAGAGATATTGCATTTGAAGTGCACTTGCAGTGCACAGGCTATTTGCCTTTAAATAATCAACCCCAATGTGTTTTACTGGCAACCTTCTGACCTGAGGAAAGGATTGAAGTGGACACAGAGTCTGACTGATACATGCAGTGAAGGGCTAATATATTTTGTTAATTTTTGTTATTTGGGACACTTTGTTACATTATCAAGCACCGTGAACTTTTTTTGGTACTTTGTGGGCACATATTGGACACAGATAATCTGTTTCACTGTGTTGCATATATTGATTATTACACAATATTATTTTTATATGATTGTTTTGAGATATTATCACTGGACTAAGTATTTATTGAAGACTGCAGCGCTGTATTCTACTTAGAGTTTTGTTAACTCTTTGTTGGTGCACATATTTAAGGTGTTTTTAATACAGCTGCTTTTCTGTTTCCCTTATTTATTCCTTTAAAGTATAACTAAAAGCAAAACTTTTTTTTAGTTTTGGATACAGTTGAGAGGGATTAGAACACCTGTCAGTTTCTATTGCCATCTATGCCCCCATTAGGGAGATTCATCCTCACTATTTGTCCTATTTACCATTATCATTGAAAGTAAAAGTAAAAGTAAATCATACATTTTGGGTGTCCCTAGAAAAGTAATAGAGCGAACATCTTCCAATGAGGACACTAGTTGTAGTAACCAGGGGATCCCCAATGGATTCCTTTTACATAAGCGGTTTGTGTTATGGCGTCACTTTAACTGACAATTGCGTGGTCATGCACCGCTGCACCAAAATGAAATTTATGTCCCCTTTTCCCCAAGAATTGGGCTTTCTTTTGGTGTAATTTGATCACCTGTGCATTTTTTATTTTTTGCGCTATAAAAAAAAAAAGGCTGACAATTTTGAGAAACAAAACAATATTTTGGACTTCTTGCTATAAAACATGTCCAGTAAAAAAAATTAAAAATCAAATTTCATTATAAATTTAGGCCAAAATGTATTCTGTGACATGCCTTTGCTAAAAAAAAATCCTAATACGTGTAAAGTAATTGGTTTACGTTATAGCGTTTACAAATGGCGGTATAGATACTGGATTTTTTTATATACTAATAATAGTGGTGATCAGCGACTTATGGTGGCAATCAGTGACTTATGGCGGTGATCAGCAACTTATAGTGAGACTGCGGGATTGCGGCGGACATTCTGACACTGGGGGGGAACTGATTAGGGGTCACTGACATCCTAATGACACGAATACAGTGATCAGTGCAACAAAAAAAAAAACACTGAGACTGTACTAATGGCACTGGGAAGGAAGGGGTTAACATCAAAGGCAATCAAAGGGTTAACTGTGTGAGGGGAGTGTTTTACTAGGGGGTGGGGATGTGTACTTCTCTATTACACACTGTTCCTGAAGGCTGTGCTCAGCGATCCGGAACAGTGTGCTGAAAACTGACAAGGAGGAGAGCTCCATTGAAAACAATGCAGCCTTCCTCCCCATCAGTGTTTGCAGGCAATCGCCGGGCTCCGGAGGGTAATCACAGCTCGGGACCCGGTGAATGACACCCGCGGCCGCAATTGGTGCCACGGGTAGGACGGTCGCGCACCTCGCGCATGCCCCCTACCCCGAAATGCAGGATCACATTTATATACGTTATCTTGTGCACAAGGGCCACCTTGTAGCAGTATATGTACTGCGGGCGGTCCCCTAGTGGTTAATCTGCATGGATTTCCTCTCACTTCCTATTTGTCTAGGGCACAGAAATTGAAGGGAAATCTCTGAAATGGGACACAGTTGGCAAAAAAAAAACCTGACAAAAACCTTGCTTTATCCAAAATGAGAAAAAAAAGTTTTGCCTATAGTTCTACTTTAAGCACAGTGTGAGATTGATATTCTTTGTATACATTCCCTAAGGAAAATAAATTTAATTCATTTATGTGATAATTTTTCAATTAATATGAAGTTTCGTTATCATTTTTATCTAATCCCTTGCCTTGGGTCTCAGTTTAGGTGCATTAGAATAATTACACCTGGATTCCAGAGATGCTCTCATGTAAGGACAGTAAATGTATGAATTACAAAGCAGATAGGTATCTCAGTCTTAATAAAGAATGTTATTTTTGGCATTCCTACAATTGTTTTCTCTACTCCTTTTTTTGTAATATATTGCTTTGTTCAATTATTTTGCATGCACAGAATGTTAATATGCTATTATGTTTATGGGGCAGCACAGTGGGTAAATGGTTAGCACTTCCGCCTGGCAGCACTAGGGTCGTTGGTTCGAATCCCAACCACAGCACCACCTACCTGGAGTTTACATGTTCTCCCTGTGCCTGCGTGGGTTTCCTTAGGCTACTCCAGTTTCCTCCCACACTCCAAAGACATGCTGGTAGGTGAATTGGATCCTGTCTAAATTGGCCCTAGTATATGTATGTATGAATGTGAGTTAGGGACCTTAGATTGTACGCCCCTTGAGGGTTAGGGACTGATGTGAATGTACAATATATATGTAAAGCGCTGCGCAAAATTGATGGAGCTATATAAGTACCTGAAATAAATAAATAATAAATAGTACAGAATCTTTCCAATATTTTCTTTTAACTCAGAGTATGTTACTGTTTTTCCCCTTTCTCAAATGTATTTTAAAGTGGTTGTAAAGGCTCAAGGTGTTTTACCGTCATGCATTCTACGCATGAAGGTAACAAACCTTCTGTGAGCAGCAGTGACCCCAGCCCTCCTAAAACTTACCTGAGCCCCTGCTTGATCCAGCGATGTGAACAAGATCCTTCCCTCCCCTTGGTCTCTCCCTCATCGTTGACTGAAACCATTGGCTCCCATTACTGTCAATCATAGCCAGTGAGCCAATGAAAAGAAAGTGGGGATGGGGCTGAACCGCACTCCATGTGTAAATGGACACACAGACCAGCTTGGTAGCGAGCTTGCTCAGGTGCCTCCATAGCAAGTTGCTTGCTATGGGGGCACTAGGCAGGAGGGAGGGGCCTGGAGCGCCAGCAGAAGAAGAGGAGGATTGAGGGTCTGCTGTGCAAAACCATTGCACAGAGCAAGTAAATATAACATGTTTGTTATTTAAAAAAAATACTGAACATTTAATATCACTTTAAAAATCTGATATGCTTGCATTTAGGTTTTTTTTATTTCTATTTTTGGTGACTTTTGAATATGTTTATTTTTAATCCTAAATTCAATTTTGTTGAAGTTAAACTCAAAAGAAATGTTCTATTTTACTATTATAACACTTTTTGGAATGTATTACCCCTCACAAGGATTCCAGAATTCCTCCCAACAAAGCCTTTATCTGTTTTTTGTCCCTATAAGGATGGCACCATCTTTGTTTAGGCATCATTCAGGGTCATCATTCACTTCTTGAGTTGAGCTGGCTGTGTTCAAATGTCTGTCACAAATCAGCCTCTGTGTCAGCCTATCATCTTGTGACTTGCTGCAAAGTTACAATGTTGCAGTCTGCAAAATGGTGAGATAAGTTTGAGAAAATGCTTCTTCCTACCTCCAGCAAATTGATGAAATCATCTCAGCATATGCAATGCAAGTGGATTTGTGCTCAGTGATGGATTTTTAACAATAAAAGGTGGAGCTTTTTTCATTGAACTTTTGCTGTATACCAGGGCATGTCAGAGATGTAATCAGGCAAACTAAAAATCATAACTCTAACCATATCCTAATAAAGTGATCGATATGATGTATAATTACTTTACCAATATATAATTATAAAATACTTTGTGCTAAATGTAAGATGAATCAATGCGTTCAATCAATCATCTTCTTCTAAAGTGCAATAGTACTTCATGTTCAAGAAAAAACGCTTTATCTCGCACTGTTTGTTTTAATCAATGTTAGTGGAATTATTGTGTAATTGCTGTGTATAATATTGAGTATAATAACTGGAGGTTGGAGACACAAAAAAAACTGATTATAATTCCACTAAAATGAACTATGTGTTATACAGTGGCTTATTGTTTTGTGGCATGTGAAGCACTTTATAAGAGGATGATTGATTTGTGGGGAATTTATTCATCTCACATTAAGCACGGGGTACTTTTTAAATTAGATTTTGGTATAGTGATTATGCATCATATGGAGAACTATTCAGGATATGGTTATGACCAGGGGCGTACTGACAAATCATGGGGCCCCCAGGCAATTTGGGATCATGGGGCCCCTGTGTCCTTGCCCAAACTCAAAAAAGCCTATGAAAAAGGTACCAGGGGCATCTCATGGGGCCCCCTACTGACCCTGGGCCCTCAATAGGGGATTATGGGGCCCCTGTGTCCTTGCTAAAACTCAAAAAAGCCTATATAAAAGGTACCAGGGGCATCTCATGGGGCCCCCTACTAACCCCGGGCCCTCGGGCAGTGCCCGAGTTTCCAAATGGTCAGTCCGCCCCTGGTTATGACTATGTATCATATCAAGGTTTGAGTGATTTCATAGGCAGGTTATGCAGCACTGCACTCATTTGATCAATATTACAATTTAGCGCATGAATCCCAGATAGCACTGGCTTGCTTGGATAGTAGATATTGTTTGTAATAGAAGTGCAGGAGGATTATCACAATATTATGCAGACTGTCTCCTACATAACTGTCACACTTTCCAATAGATACATCATTTACAACTGTAGAACTTTATTTACCTTACTTTGGATCTTTAAATTAGCACATTTACGATAACACAACTTTATTGCAGATTTATACATGGGTACAGCAGCATTTTACTTAATGAAAACAGAATTTTATATAGATTTGCACATGATTACAACAGCACTTTACTTTATGAAAATAACTGGCTGCCAAATTATAGACAGATAAGTTCCTTGGCTCCATTATTATCACTTGAATTAGAATTTATGTACTGTCAGAATGTTATGTTATGATGATCCGATGGTGAGCTGTATATTGCCAGTGATAATTTGCAATGAATTGTAGTATGTGTGGTAAGGGAG